ATTCCTGCTTGATACATCCTCTTTTTTTCTTATCCTAACCTACACTTCACTTCTGCTGAGACGCAGGAGCAGTGTTAGTGCCTATCTGCGCATCCCCAGCAAGGCTTCGCCACTGGAAGAACCCTTGCGGAGCCTAAGCAGGCTTTCGCTCTTCCCAGCTGAATGAGGTTTCTGTGCGTTGCCTCCCCCAAATTTATACCCCACTTGCACCACAGGCTTGTAGACAACCTGACTTGGGCTCAGCTTCCTCTAGCAGCAGGAACACCGAATGTGCGGGGGGTGCCAGTGCCAGCTCACTCAGGGCAGTGTTTTCTCAAGGCCCAGACCTGCTGGGAACTTACTATGTACATCAAAAACGTCACTCCAGTCTTAACCATGGCTAAAGATTGTATTGTGAAGGACTTGATCTGTTTACTATGAAACCATTGTAATTTCTGCTTCCATATTTCCTTTACAGAAGTATTCCTGGATGTTACATGATAACCTTACTATGTGAAAGTACATGCAAACTGTAGAGTGTATATATTGTGTCGTTATACGGGGTCCACAGATGGTACACTGTGTTCCATGGCTTACGCCGGAGCAAACTTCAGCTGTTAAACCCTGAAAGACACCTTGAAGCACAATTTCCTCGCCACTGATTTGCCATATAATTTACCACATTCAGTCTTTCCTGTTTTCTTTTATGTGCAGTCTGATCATACTAAAGTCTGATTACAACAGTAATTTTGTGAGGATAAATAGGATTTTTTCCACATCTCACTTCATTTAACTATTAACTGCAGTTTATCCAGACAGATCCATAAGTTTAAAGCCCTATCCAAAATTTTAAAACTTACAAGTTTTTTTTCAGGCTTTTCTTTCTTTTTCCTAACGGTTTATGGTGCCTTTCTTGCCTTTCATACGAAGCTTCCTGCTGGGCCAAGCATAAACCTGCGCTTAGGTTCAGTTAAGGAGCAAGAGATAGGGCACATGGCAACTGTGTGTCAGTAATGAAACTCCTTTCCCCTCCTTGACAAGATCGAAAAATCAAGGCACCATGAGTTGGACTCTACGCCTCCACCTTCATCTGCATGAGCAGATGGTTGCACCCCCACTGAGCCCGGAAGGCGTCAATGGGAGAACTGAGCATTGGCCGGCCCTGCCTGTGCAGACTCCGTACAGAAACAGGGCTTTGGGTTTTGCTGATAATTTATCTCACGGAAACTTGGTATTTTTGCCTTAAATGACATGCTTGAGTCCTTCTAATTTTAAGTTAATTTATTTAATACAATTTTGTGCACAAAAGAATGAATTCTATAAATTATGTATGAAAATGTTAATGTCTTTACAAAGTACTAATAAATCCAGAAGATCGTATCTTTTCAAATTATGGTTTAAAATCCTAATTTTTTTCTTTTATGCTCACCATTTATTTTTGTAGCTGCAAGTCTTATCATATACGAATTTTTTAACATAATATTGATAGAAAATAGAAAGAGTAGTGAATATATGAAATTCTGGAAAAGAAGAATTGTTTGTTTGGATTTTTATAAGCTTTGCTCGTATTTCCTCATGAGGAGTTTCCTGTTTCTACGCTCTCTCTTTAAAAGACAGTGTCATGAATGACAGTTGTTCATTGGTTTCACACAAGAAGGAGCTGTCTGGCTTTTCAAGTCTTGTCCTGAGCTGCTTATTAAAGTCCAGCTCATGACAGCTAATAAGAATTGTTCATGAGTAGGGACAAAGGATAATTTTCTGATTTACAATCCACTTGAGGATTGTTGAAGAGAGAATTTTGAACTTAAGTAAGAGCATCAGGAATTAAGCCTTATCCAAATAACTGTTTTCTGATCAGCATGTTTCTTGTACCTGATTGAAGAGAGAACTGAAAAGAATAGTTTTGATGATTACTATTTGTTTAAAAATTTGTATTTGCTCCTGGCTTATATGATCTATACTTTTTATTTAAATATGAATATAGTGTTTTAGCCTAGGGTTCAAGATTGCAAAGATCATACACTTTTATTCACAGTGCCCACGGTTGTTCCACGTTTTTGAGATAATCCTACTTAAAGTGACTGCTCTCATTATAGTATGGTGATGAGTAATTCACCTGCTCTTCTGTGATAAGTCAAATCATACTGAATCAGTGATGTATAGTAGAACATCTGATGTACAGTAGTATTTCTGGATTGGGACCTGCAATCCTTACTCAAGCAAAAATTCTATGGAATTCATTCATTCCATTGAATCCAAGAATTTTTCTTGAATCGGGAGCTCAGATTCAAATCCTTATTTTGTTGGGCATCTGTTTAAAGTGAAAATGGTAATATTCCAGTTATTTCCTGAGGAAACTAATACTTAGCTGAATTTACCCATGTCACATTGACTATATAAAAAATAACGCACAAAGTATTGATGTAAAAAGGGAAGAAGAGAAGGGACATTTTTAAAAAGCACAGAGAAAAGGATAATAATCAGAAAAGAGGAGTAAGCAGGAAAAGAAAATATAACAGCAAAGGAACGAAAAAAGGGTTTAAATACCTGAGGCTAAATTCATCCTTGGATGGCTTCACTGACTTCAATGAATTCACTGCCCAACTGGGTGAAGTTCAGCCTCCATTGGGATAATCAGGCTCAGTTCCACTGACCTTAAAGGAACTGAACCCATCTATACCAGGAATGAACTTGCCTCTGGGCCAACTTTTATCCTGACTCATATGTCATGCAATCCTTTTGGATTCATTAGGTTTGAATGAAATACAGGTCAGAAAAGAATTTGCCCCAGATATTTCTGCTTCACATTTTTTTCCAAGTGTGTTAATCGACTTAATTCAAATGGATTACAACATCACATAAAGTGCTGTCACTGTCTAAAAAGGTTAATCGGTTTTTGAAATAAGAATTGTCCCCTGCGGCGTCAGTGGAAGCATGTAATATTTTCCTGTTCATTCATCTGGATGCAAATGTAGCCATTCATTCAGCTGTGGCCACGCATAGGACAATTCCAGACATATTCCAATATCATCTGCTACTGGAAGCATTTTTTACTTCTTTGAAAGATAAAAAGCCAGTTTCGTAACAGGCTTAGAAAGCACGAAGGCTGCTTCCACTGACACTGCAAGACATTAGCCAGTACATTACAATGTTAACTGTAACTTCTTGACAAAGTTGAATCTATATTGTTGTTAATAAAAAAAGATTTGAAAAGTACCACGCTACTGGGTTTTTTTCCTTACATAAATGATTGCACGGTGTAGGCACATATCAGGCAAAAAAAAAAATTTAAACTTGTTCATTGTTTTCCTTTTGAAGTTTTGTAATTTTTTTATTAAATGGACCAAAACACCACAAAGGAAGTTTACTAGAGTAGAACGTGCACAAACTAGTCTGATACATTCAGTTTCTGGTAACTGTTTACAGCAGAGTTTACTTAAACTTCAGATGTTTCAGCACCTCTATGAAAATTAGTTTGGAAGTTATTATTACCTACCCTGTTAGAGAAATGGGAATTGATTCGGGATCAGCAATCAGGGGGCTGTGCGAGGAGCAGGATTCCTAAGGGAAGGCCCATTCGCTACCTCAGTTTAACTTGAGTCCTTGGTGAAGCCCTTTCCTCTGCGCTGAATCACGAAAGTTGCTCTAGAAT